AAATAATAAAATAACTAATTAAAATATTCTAATTAACTCTCTGTATCACACACTCGGATATTTAATGTCTGCTCGTACACTGACATTAAATGTTTTTATGTATTAGTAGCATGGATGTGTATTTGGTGTCAAATGCTTGGGGTGCCCCTAGCATTTTTGTTAAACTCATTTCTAAAAACTGATATTTTTAGGAAGTGAACAATTATAACTCGGTGCAGTAGTATTTAAAAATTATGTTACAAATTTTCTCTCCGTCTCAAAGTATTTATCCAGCTTGGCATTTTTTAGTTTAATTAATTCAATATTTTTAAAAATTGCTCTAAAAATAAAAAATTTAGTTTTTTTTATTCAAATACTATATAAAAAATTCTACTAAACAATACCCATCCGTGCATTTTATTTAATTTGTTCTCATTTGATTTTTTATGATCTCTAATTCAACTTTTTGACCAATTTAATAATATCTTTATTTATATAAAGATATACTTCATATTTTATAAATTTTGATACTTCAGAACTATATTTCAATTAACCTATTGATATTAAATTTATGCCATAATCTATTACATTTTTTCGGAAACTTATGATCAAAGTTTTAAAATAATGTTCATAAAACAATTCAACAAAAAATTTAGACTTGTGATTGTTGTTCAGAAAAAGTTTGTATACCCTAGTCTGCCCCCCTCACATGCAGTCATGCAGGTATAGCCACTTTGAATCTTGCACGCGAAACTTTAATTTTTTTAAACTAGGTGGCGCCATCGAGTCGGTGAGGTCTAGACACGTGATCTCTTAGCTTGATTATCATGTTAAATAATCAACTTAACCAAAAATCTTGGCCGATGAGAATGTGTGGAAAAAGTTACTTTATCCGTCACATAAAACTTTCAAAGCTGAAAAAAGGCACACATTTAAAATGTCCTCCCTCGGTTTTTTCAAAACGCTTCTTCTTTAATTTATCTCTTTTTCCAAAATACCTCCCTTTTCTATTAAAATTACTTTTACCCTTATTTTTTCTTACCTTTCTTATCATATCATATTTTTCCACTAATAATCTACCATGACGTTTTACTTTTACGCATCACATCAAAGACAAAATTGAAAAGTCAACTCCAAACAACCTTCCTTATTTTTTCCCAAAGTCAATACATGTGTTTATAGAAACATGGGGAGTAATATGATATTATATGATGTATAGAATATATGAATCATAATTAAAAAATTATCCTCCGTATCCAAATTATACATTTTTACGGTGCATCATTTTTCAACATTGAAAATTTTGAATAGTATTTGGTTAAACAGTTACACACTTTTGACTACAATATACTATATGAGAAAAGTATATTGAATTATAATATAAATTTAATATAATTGAATTCATCTTAGAATATAATTTTGATATATCAAATTTTTTTAACATTTCTTTATTTAGATTATTTTTAATTTTGATCAAAGCATGTAACTGTTTGACTAAAAATACATCAAAATGAATAATATTTTGTGGGATAGGGGAGTATGAATAGAAACTATAATTTTACCATTTCAATAGCAATTCAGGCTTTTTATTTTAGGAGGTGAAAAAAATGAACAAATAAATATGGACGAGGGAATAAATTAATCTCAGCCAATATTAATAGAGTACAGTACTACTAAATATCCATTCACTCTCCTTCTTCTTCTTCCCAAACGTAACCTTCACTTCAATCCAATTCAATCACAAATACTCCCTCCCTCCATGTATAATCTTCCCATTACGCGTTATGATGTTTGACCGACTTTATTTTCAATTCAATTTAATTGATTATAGGGGTAAAATTTTAAAATAAAATTTATATAGTAATAAACTACATGAAAAGTTCTACAAAACTAGAGGTGACAAGACTATATTATTTTATGAAATGACTAGTAAAATTGAGCAAACAAAGTGAGTAAAGTTTGACCATGTGAATAGTGTCTGGGAAGATCTATGGTACAGAGGGAGTATATATATATATATGTGTGTGTGTGTGTGTGTATATATATATATATATATATATATATATAGCAGAAAGCAAAGAAAGACAGGAAAAAAAGTAAAGATGAACTCAATGAGATGGAACAACAAGAACATTATTACTGTTCTTGCAGCCATTACTACGGTGTGGGCATCCGCCGCCGCCGCAGCTCGCCGGAGCTCGGCCGTCGACGACGGCGAGATGATAAAGAGGTACGAGCAGTGGATGGAGCAGTACGGGCGGGCGTATTCAAACGAGACCGAGAAAACACAGCGGTTCAGTGTGTTCAGAGACAATGCGATTTTCATCGATTCTTTCAACCGGGCCGGAAATCATCCGTACACTCTGGCTATCAACGAGTTCGCCGACTTAACTAACGACGAGTTTCGGTCCTCTCGGATGGGTTACGTGCCGCCGCCGCCGGTTGTCGGTAACGCGACGGCGACGCCTTTCATCTATGAAAACGTCACCGACCCTCCCCCCGCCGTGGACTGGATTAAGCACGGCGCAGTTACTCCCATCAAAAACCAAGAACAGTGTGGTAATTAATACTCCCATCCAGTTATTTTGAATATAATTTATTAGAAAAATTGGAGTAAATTTAAAATATAAGGAGTAATATTTCATTATAAAAAACTACAACAAAAAAGCTCTACGGGACAAGAAGTGATATAATGATACTCTGTATTATTTTATGACTATCAAAATAAAAAATGAAACTAAGAAAAGAAAGTAATGCAACTTAATTTTGGAAGGAGAGTGTAATTAAGGCCTCGTTAGATCATATCCAATAAGTTTTCTCCATCAGATCAGATCACATGTAATTAAATCGGGGTGCTTCTATGATGCACCTTAGGTGTATATCATTTTTGTAGACCTTCTCACATAAAAAATTATTTCTTTTATTTTTTTATTAAAAAACATATGCTTATTTAAGTAATAAAGAAATGTTTATTTCACTAATGTGTAGGTCCATGATGGACTTTAGGTTCACCATAGAATTTTTCTTAAATCAGATCATATAAGAACGAATCAGATAAGATGTTTTTAGATTCAATTAGATAAATCAAGAAGAAATTGAAAAATAATGCTAATATTTTTTCTACTATTATATACTCACTCTGCCCTAATATTTTGTTTTCAATCACTAGTCATATTATCAAACTTTAATTACTTTCTTTATCTATTCTCGTTAGTTATTTGATAAAATAATTTAGTCATCTCACCTCTTGTTTTGATTTGTAAAACTTTTGATGTAGTTTTAAATATATTGTAACACCCTAATCTGTCCAGGTCTGCAGCCCCTTTCAGATTAAAGTATTAACTTGGTAATTGTAAAAATTTAAAACATTTCAAACACTTTTATTTATCACAATAATATTTTTCATAATATAAACAGTACGGAGTTTTCAATATTGCGGAAGCTTAACAATCATAATCACAAACATAATTTATTTATGTTCTTTAATTCAAAACCATCACATCCATTCCGACAATCTCGCCTCCGTCTGCCTCCAGGATCACGTCACTTCATTAACCTGCGTGTAGCAAATAAAACATACTACACGCTCAGCGTTGAAGCTGAGTAAGCATATCTAATGCATCGAACATCCATATAAACTGAATCTAAATTCATAATCAAATCATTTGATATCATGCACATAATGTTCTGTTCAGATAATCAATAATTATTAAAAATTATTCATTATGCATTATTCAACATTTATATTCACATTCAATGTTCATCAGTCATTCATAATAATTGCAATATTCAATTCAATATTCATCATTCAATATTTACTCATATTCAATATTCAATATTCAACATTCAACAATATCCTTAAACTATTCTTAGTCTAAGGCCAATCACTTTAATATTTGTCAACCCTTAAACGAATTCTAGTTTAAATAATTAAACTATATTCCAGTATAAAATATTCCTAAATAATCCTTAAGCTAGGCCTAGTTTAAGATAAAAGGGTTTTGAAAATCTTAAACTTACCTTCACTTAAGGCCAACCAAAAACCGACAGCGTAGTGTTCACTGTTGGGTGGGTGGTACCCCCAAACGAGTAGGTACTCAAGTTTGGTTCTTGGATCTCGTACGTACGTTTTAACCCTAGCCACCGGGGTTCATACCCGCAAGGCCTAACTT